ATTCTCCCTCCTCCCTTTTAAAGCCGATTAAAAATATTGTTTTAATAAATTGTGTATAATTTGTCATAAATTTTCACAAGCTTCGAGATTACATTTCAAAAAATTGGCTCATCGTCGAATGAATATTCTACATTTAGTATTACAACAATCAGAAATCATACCAAAGAATATTTAATATTTGCAAAGCATATTTATTTAAATATACTGTTATCACAGAAACAAATAATTTTTAATTAAGTGGTAATATGCCTATTAAGTACTAAGTACTCGATAGCGCGGCACGCCGTAATGGACGGCCATTCGTAATCACTTTATCTGCACTAACATTACCGTTATTCACGATAATTTGGGAAAATATTGCTTTGATTTGTTTATATCAATCAAAATGTTATGAGACATATAAATAAATACATAGATCAAAAAAGTGCTAGATACACAATCTCATGCGAAAGTTCTCTTAAAACTGTCACCAGTTGTGTTCAGGTAATTATTCTAGTTGATATAAATATAGATAAATGTAAATTGAACCTTAAATGCAATGCTTAAAGTTGTTTTCTCAACAAAAAAATATTAAAAGCGCGCTTAAATGTTCAAATGAGCGCTCATTCGGTGAGGACATTTTTTTGTCGCTGATTGTGTATCTAGTACTTTTTTGACCGATGTATAAATATGAAAAAAAAAAATTGCAAAAATATTATTACATTAAATAATAAGCTTTCCGCGTCGATTTTAGTTTTACATAAAAAAAATTACGACTGTAAGAATGGCCTATCGAATGAAAAATATACATAAATTAAAATTATAAAGTTTAAATAAATAAATGTGAATATTTAAACATCATATTTGTTTAATTTGTAATACTTTATACTTCCAATATCCCTAATTATCTGTTTAGTAATAATTACCCATAATTTTTAGGTAAAAGATTTTTTACAATTAAGGCCACTGTTACATAAGTCTTAATTTCAGAATATGTCTATAGTTTGTATTGAGCCTAAAAAATAATATAAAGCAGAGTTCGTGCGACGGCAACTTATTAAAACAAAAGGATATCTTCTAAAAAACCATCTTAGGCGGTGGCTTGACGTCACGATAACGGAAAATTATTTTACCTAACAAACTGTTACTGTACCTAAGATATTTATTGTCTAAACTATTTTTTTTTGTCAAAAGTACCTTTGACTAAAGAGGTTGGTCAAAAGTAATTTTGATTGCAGACCTTAGTCTATGGCAGTTTTGACTGGCGTATCGGTCAAAATACTGCCATTCATCAATAGTAAAGAAGGCCCCTAACTAACAATTTGGTCAAAAATGACTTATCAGCCACAAAAAAATGCTACTTGACAGTCTTACTTATAAAGCGCTGTGACTCCGGAGATACCAAACCCATTTTCATCGTAACTACGCACAAACAACTCCTAAGTCCTAAGACAAAACTTCAAATATCTCGAAATCAACTTTAACGAAGTTGCGGCCTTCTTTTTAATGACGGCAGAATACTTAAAAAGTTAAGAAGGTAAGTAGGTTGTAGGTTACTCGGAAGAACCCTTTCCTTCTAGGTTGGTTAAGTTAGAACAGTGACCCCCCCCCCCCCCCCCAACGTGCGTTCACCTTGTCGTGGTGGGGAGGCTCAGTAGTGCCCGGCAATACAGCCGGGCGCGAAGCCAAGAAACGCACAGGCACCATACGGGTTGGTCCTGGTACTTGTCTGATAGCAGAGTGGACTGTGGAGCAACCCCGTGGCTGTTGTGGTCTGAACTGTGATCACAACGCCATAATTTTAACATTTTTGACCGATATGCCAGTCAAAACTGGTATTGAACAAGGCCTACAGTCCAAAAGTACTTTTGACCATGAAAGAGTTCTAACTGTAACATATACTTATAATAATAAATATTACAAATACTTAATAAATGATATTTTACATAGTGTGCCTATTTGAAAGCAGCTGAGGGATGAATATTTCCATTTTACAAATAGACAAGAGTCCTAAATATTTCAACAAATATAGAAAACATTGTAACTCAAATTATGGTAATCTAATGTATACCTCGTATCATGGTGTTTGTGGTCGCACACCTCTAAAACGGCTCGACCGATTTTAATCATATTTTATTGTATATTTGATAGATATAAGAATAGGTCGTTAAGTATTTTTCACGCTCCTACCCCCACGCCCCATTTTTTAATCGCGATTTTAATATTTTTATGAACGATATCCAAATAATATTATATAAATACATAACAAAGCAAAAGAGTTTTTTCTTGTAGATTGAACGTGGACGAACCCGCGGGTACTGCTAGTTTAAAATATAAATAACCCATGCCATATAGTGCTATTCAATTCAATTCTTTAGGTTTGTGGCTTCTAGGAGTGTTTTTGGGCACAACTTACATCGCCAATGTCGCGTAGAATGGAGAAGGCACGTTATATATAAAATGACCGGTAAAAAAGGAGAAAAGAAAAACACTAATCTGATTACATATAGAAACATAGCCATAAGTTGTAATATATAGTGCTATGGGCTTAGGCAGACATAGTTCATTACAAATGCTCTGACATTTGAGTATTTATTTATAGTCATCTATACATATAATAAAAATGTAACTAAGCAAAATCTGTACATTAAATATTTTTTCGAAAATCTTAATGAAATAAACATTATTATTGATACAGAGGCTGAATCTATAGTTTTTATAATTTTTGTCTGTCTGTTACTGCATCCCAGAAAAACCACTGGAGGGATTTTGATGAAATTTGGTATGGTGATAGCTGGTTATCCATGTCAACACATATAGGATACTTTTTACTGCGGATAAATATCTCATCTCTGAGAAATCTATACTAAACGTTAAAACGTAAGTAGGGACGAACCCGAGCGGAGCGAGGGTAAGTCGCTAGTTCTAATATATTTCTAAAGTTTTCTATTAGCGATATCGATTACAAATTATCAATGTATCTAAGACAAATTAAATTGAAACAATACTGAGTTACAATGTTTTTTGCAGGTTATTTCCATATTTAGATGTCGATGATTTCTTCTATATTTATTTAACCATTAAAGGGTGTATATTAGTATATTACTTAAATATATTTGCTCAGCGAGGTTTATTCGTTGGGACGTTTTTCTATCTTTATGCTACTACTACATTAATGCTAACGTTTAATCCCAATAACCTATCGACCTGTTGTTCTTCTTACTAAAGATTCGATTCAATTCACTTTGTTTAATGGCTTCTATACGAAAAAAAAACAATTTTTAAAATATTTGTCTCTCTGTTTCGGCTAATCTCCGAAACGGCTGAACCAATTTTGACGGGACATTCACTGGCAGATAGTTGATGTTATACGGAGTAACATAGGCTAATTTTATTTTAGAAAAAGAATCAGGGTTCCGCCAAAAAAAATATTAAAACCCATGAAATTGTGAAGAAAATCGTACCTAGGTATGACCACCCGAGCGAAGCACGGGTAAGTCGCTATTTTTTATATAAGTATTGATTATTATCTTAAATATATTTAAATAATAATCTAATTAAGTACAGTATAAGATATAATTAAATTATAATTACTTATTCTATTCTCGTTGTAGCGTTCAGTGTTTATATCAATGAAGTAAAAACGGCTGCTTTGTTTTTTATATAAATTTTCTATCGTACATTAAATAATATGATTAGCATAATATATCCCGTTAATACTATAAATGCGAAAATTTGAATGGATGTTTGTTACTCTTTCACGCCAAAACGGCTGAATGGATCTGGATGAAATTTTACACATGGATAGATTATAGTCTGGAATAGCACATAGTCCACTTTTTATCCCGAAAAAATATACAGTGCCCGTGGGATGAATTTGTTTTTGTTTTTCAGTTTTCGTTTCTTGAGTTGACAAATAAAAGATTGATCTCTTCAAGATATACGGTTATAAGAGAAATAGTTTTTTAAAGTATTCAAATTATAACATAAAAAGTGGTTTACAATATTTACAAAATTTAAATGAGAATTTGTAACTTCGATATATTAGAAGTTACGTATAGTCCGTATAATCTAAAATGTTATTATTTAAGGAAAAATATAAAAACACTATACTAAAGAAAATATTCTAAGGGAGTTAAATTATATATATATAATAAAGGCACAATGGTTAACAAACTGCTCTTTGACGAACGAACTGAAGTATTCTACAATATATTAGTGTTTAAACCTGTTTTTTTTTTCTTTTCATTGAAAGTAGTTTCGTTTCTTCCTTGAAATCCTGCAAAAAAAATTAATATGTAAAATATGAGATGATTATAGATCATTTGTTTTTCTTCAAATATTTGATAAATATTACACTTAAATTTAAAAGTTTTATAGATTAAGCTATAATTTTTACGTTTGTTATTATTTTGCTAATAAATCAATTTTTTTTATGATAGTGAAGTTGGTCTCTTTGGTTAAGTATTTACAGTAAGCAAGTCATTGTAGCTCAGTGGTAACAGGCTCGCTTGGGAAACCGAGACAAGCGGGTTCAAATCCAGGGTCTCACACCTCTGATATTTTCATGTGCGAATCATTTTCGATTTTATTACTACTATATGTCATGCAGTGAAGGAAAACAGCGTGATGAAACCTGCATGTCTGAGAGATTCAAAATATTCAGTTTTCGAAAGACGTGTAAAGTCCGCCAACCCGCACTTGGCCAGCGTGGTGGACTATGGTTTGACCTCGAACATAGCGTAGTTATTTTTTTTTAAATGTTTAGAATTAAAATAAACAAATATTGTAAATTACTCTGGTGCTAATTTTGAATTTTAGAAATCATTTTTGTAAAATAGTGGCTAGGCACTGTCTGTAACAAGCAAGTAACATAACGCCTTTGAGACATGTAAAACCTTAGTCTTTCTCTTGACCATGATGGCTGTAAACATTAGAAAAACGTCGGAAACCAAACATCAAAATAAATCCGCCGAAATAATCCGAAAAGATAAGTTTTATTTGAAAGGTTTTCCGTATTAGCAAATTGCGACGTCACTCGTGGCAACTTCGTTAGCAAGTATCACCCACCCGGTGTCGGCGGGCGAGAAGAAGAACCCGCGCGGCCTGGCGGCGGGCGACGCGCCGCGCTCCGGGCACGCCCACTGCGCCCAGTACTCGCCCGGCAGCCGCAGCAGCAGCTGCATCACCTGCCGACACGGACAATAATAACACACAGACACAACCACATAGTAAGTATAATACGCCAAAAATTAGAATTAAATAATAATAATGTTCTCCTGACCGATTCCGGCCACGGCGACCAATCTCATTGAGATATTATAGTGCAGCGCGTGTACGCGCAGACACAAGTGCACTATTACTGTCACTCTCATACTCCGGTGAGACGACATGAGACACGACCGGTGAGACAACAGTAGTTAGTTTTTTTGTTGCATCACCTGACGCACCAGATATAATAATAACAAAATAAAAGGGGTACAAAGTTCTTGCTTCATATATTCTTCTTCTTCTTCTTCTTTTCGTGTCGATGGCAAGTTTTAAATCGTGTCAGCCCAAAACTCAGCCACGAATTAATATAATATAATAATAAGCTCACACTGAACATCTGCGCGGTGGCGGTGTACATCTCGGAGGGCTGCGTCATCATGCCGTAGCCCACGACGGTGGGCGCGAACACCTTCGCCAGGTTGTCTATGCCCATCTCACACTCGGGACTTTCTGCTACTCTGTCATTGGAAAAATTATATTGTAACCACAATAATACGTAAAAAAACGGCGTTTTTTCTCTTTCCTGAAAAGTAGGGTTTTGGTTTATACGACAAATGAACCCAAAGGTATCGATATAGGTTATAATGAAACTTTAAAGTATACATAGAGACCATATTCTGATATATTTTTATCCTCACAATATACTCTTGTGGTAATAATAGTTTAAGCTTATTGTAACTGAATACTACCTTCTAGCATTATCAAATCTTCTGGCACTATCCAAGAAAGCCGAATAAAAAACAATCGAACACAAAAAACACAAGCTTTGGTGGAATGCAGAACGAGGAAGACCATCGTGTTTATTAAATTGTGACGAAACTTTAAGTATATCTAAATAGCACTGAAAACCTCAAATATATCTATATAATATTTTCTTAGATTTACGCGAATATTTGACATTTAAAAAAAAACTATCTTTTCGGATTGTTTCGCAGATTTATTCGAAACTTATGCAACAAAATCAAAATATATCCATCCGCGAAACAATTTATATAATTATTGATCATCCAGCGTTAACCATGTAAATGGTGTTTTTCGTTAATTTTTTGATGTTTTAATACTTATTATCCTATTCTGGACTAAGAGAAATCCAAATATCATAAAACTTGGTCCAGCCGTTCTTGAGTTACAATGGTGTAACTAACACGACTTTGTTTTCTATATTAATATTATAAAGAGGTAAAGTCTGCGAGTTTGTGACTTTGTAGGGATCATCTCTGGATCTACTGAACCGATTTAGATGAAATTTGTTAAGAAGATAGTTTGAGACCCCGGAAAGGACATAGGATACTTTTTATTCTGGAAATTATCCCTTAAGGGGGGGTGAAAATGGGGACAACTAACTTCTGTAGATGCAGCACCAGGAAGGCGAGCGTGTCGCGGTTGGGCGGCGGCAGCTGCGACACGGCGTGCACGGCGGCGGCGGCGGCGTCGGCGCGGTCGCGGCGCGGCGCCGCCAGGAAGTCGGCCCACAGCGCCGCCGACACCAGCGGCTCGCGCAGCCCGCGCAGGAAGTCCTTGATGCAGCCGCAGATCAGGTGCACGTCCTCGCCGGCCAGCGACGGGGAGCCGCAACCGCGTAGGAACCGCTCCTGGAAACCCACGGGTTAGGAAATTACTAAATATGATTCGAAGAGGGCTTTTTTCGTAATGGCTTTAGATTGTTTGACAAGTTACTAGTGATAATTATATGATTTTGTTCTCATGTTCTCTCTCATTTTATAAAAAAAAAAACGTGTGTGTGTACTTATGTACGCACGTGAGAAGTTATACTTCTTTGGCGTAACAGAACAAAAATAGCTAAAGATTTCATCCCGTACCGTCACAACTCGTCGCTTTTTGGCTGTTGGTGTCGCAAAAATTTTACTCTCATAACTCCCCAAACGTGCCAATAGAGGTATAACTTCAAAAATGGTAGTAATTTCAAAATGTAACTATAAAAACGCGCCACTTAAAACTAATTATTCTACAATTTTAGCATTTTTTTTATATATAAAAAATCTCTTATAAATAACATAATTAAGTATAATTAATTCTGTATGTCAGTCCGTATAATTTATGCATTAAAAAATATGAAATTTCGTTACATACACAAAAAATATAAACCTCATTAAGCACCTGCATATTTTTAAAGTAAAACCAAATATAAAAATGAGTCAAACTAACAAATTATTGATTATCACGATAACAAAATGTGAATTTTTGAGAGGTTTTTTAGGTTCAATAACATTCAATTTCGAATTGTGCACATTTTTTTAAGGACACTTTTGAGACGCTAATTATGTATCTTGAGTTTTTGTACATCAATGAGCTAGCTATAGTTTTTTTACCCGACTGCGCGAGGCAAAGGAGGGTAATGTGTTTATCAGTTTACGTATATACGAGTATGTTTGTTCCTATATGACAGATACCAAATCCGTGGGCCGATTTTGATGATTCATACTTCGTTAGATTAGTCTTAATAACGCAAATGTTATAGGCCATAAAAATAGTTAAAAATTAAAATGGCGTATTTGTGTTTTTAGTTAGCTTTTATGCAGTCGGGTTTATTATTTTTATAATATATTTATTCAACGACAGCGATAGGACTTCACACGCCAGTAGAGCCTACTAGTGCCATCAGAAACTACGACGCGTTTGGCTCAGTGACCCTATTTGCTGTGCCAGCGGTCGCGGGTTCGAATCCCGCTGGGGGCATTCATTTGTGTGATGAGCACGAATGTTTGTACTCCAGTCATGGGTGTTTATATTTATAATATGTATGTATTTAAAGTTATATATGTGTATAGTGTATCAACTATCTGGTATCCACAACACAAGCTTCGTAGCTTACCATACAACTAGATGGTGTTGTGTGTTAATGACCTGACATATTTATTATTTATTTATTATTTACCTTGAGTCGTTTGACATCTTTGTCGACAGCGCTGAGGCGGTACAGGCCGCGCTCGCTGAGGCCGCGCCGCTCCACCTCGTTGATGCAGTGCACCAGCAGCGCCGGCACCATCGGCGGCGTCGACGGCGCGTAGTCTGCTATACTGCCTTCCTGTATACATTAATGAAATACATATTAATACAAATAATAAAATTGTAACTGAGACGAATCTGTACATTAAATATTTTCTGGAAAGTTTTATTGAAATAGTAATTATTATGGATACAGATACTGAATCTAGTTTTAAAAATTTCTGTCTGTCTGTGACCGCATCACGAGAAAACCACTGGACAGTTTTTGATGAAATTTGATATGATGATAGTTATCCGGGTCAACATGTAGAATACTTTTTATTTATTTATTTATGTACTTTTTACTGCGGGAAAATATCACATCTCTGAGAAATCTATACTAAACGTTCAAACGTAAGTAGGGACGAAACCGGGAGTAAGTCGCTTTTCCGACAGGGCTAAAGTGAACTATTTAAAGTCTATTGAAAATTTACACGACATTCTGTTTTAAACTAGATATATCTATGGTTTGATCTATATATGTATTAGCAGTACCCGTGGCTTCGCCCGCGTCTAAAGGCCAACTTCCGATCGCTAACGAAATTCACAGAATCACCCAGCGGGCTAATCTGAAGATTACCTGAAAATTTCATCAAAATCGCTCCAGCTGTTTTGGAATCCATAGGAAACATACATACAGACATCGATTTTTATTTTGTTTAATCAACAATTTAAATTTATTTATTGCTCGGAAATGACAATTTAGTGACACACCGACTGCAGCGCCACTTACCGGGTTCAATTGTGTTTTCAAACCATCCAGAGACCTTTGAAATATACACACAAATTTTCATCCAAATCGGTTTAACCATTTTGGAGGAGTAGGTTAACAAACACACATAAAGAAGAATTATATATATTAAGAGAATGTGACCTGCGCGGCGTGCAGCTTGCCGGGCGGCACGCAGGGCAGCGGCAGGCGCTCGCGGCACTCGGCGTGCGCCTGCGCGCGGCAGTGCTCGCACTTCACGCCCAGCTTGCCGAACCAGATGCTGAGGATTACACACAACACACATATATTCATATAATACAAATTTTCCTAAATACATTAATAATTTTCTTAAATCATTTATTCAAGTATATATTGTATAGTAGCAACAAACAACAAACAAATACATACGTCTTCCCGCAGGGGCCGCACGTCTCCCGCTTGTAGAAGTGCTTGGCGGCGAACACGTGCTGGCGCGCGTGCGGGCGCGGCGACGCGCCGTACGCCGCCGACACCGCCGACGGCGTGCGCTGCGGCGCGCGCGGCGTCGCCGGCGGGCTCTCCGACTCTGTTGTACACATTTATTTATTTACTAACATTGCCCGCGACTCCGCCCGCGTTCAGATGACCGAAAACCAAATTCTTAGGTTTTACATATTAGTATACTTTTACATTGCAGTTTTTGTATTTTTTCTCAGAAATGAGATATTTTCTCGCGGTAAAAAGTATCCTATATGTTGACCCGGATAACCAGCTATCACCATACCAAATTTCATCAAAATCTGTTTAGTGGTTTTTCTGTAATGCAGTAACAGACAAACAAAAATTCTAAAAACTATATATTCGAACTCTATATCGATAATAATGTCTATTTCAATTAGATTTTCCAAAAAATACTTGATGTACACAATTCGACTCAGTTACAACTTTATTATATGTATAGACTAGCGACTCACTCTCGCTTCGCTCGGGTTCGTCCCTATGTTGATTCCCCCATACAAACTTTCATCGTCATTTTCACCTCCTTAAGGGATGATTTCAGGAATAAAAACCCTATGTCATTCCCAGGTTCACACACTATCTCGTTACCAAATTTCAACTAAATCGGTTCAGTAGATCTAGAGATTACCCCCTACGACGTCACAAACTCACAAACCTTACCTACTTTACTCGCGCTAAACTACAGAAAAACTCTGAAATGATAGATTTCATACAAACTTTCACCCGCTATTTTACCTCCCTATGGGATGAATTTCGAAAAATGTTAAAACACGTATTTAATTAATTATATTGAAGAGCATTTATACCATGTTTCCAGTAATTCTGATCATAAATATTTTTTTATAACGTGTTTTCCCATGGGGAAGAATACACAAAAACACAAAAAATCATGCCCATCCGCCAAGCCGTTTTGACGTGAAAAAAAGGCAAACAAACAAACAATTTCATACTGAGGCGGACCTTAGAGCTAGCAGTAGCTAACGATAGAAGGGCATGGAAAACTACTGCTGCAGCCCAAAGTTTAAAACAAATCTACGGGAACTGTAAACTTTTCCGGGATAAAAAGTAACCTTAACCTATATGCTTTCCATGCTATAATCTATCCCTGTTTTTTATCCGTCCAAGGTGCGATGACCAGCACAGGGTCCTTAGATCATATAGTCCTTACACGCTTTATAACTTCACTTGTAGTATTCGATCTTGAGATTTTTTTATTTGCCGTGATATTATAAAATTATAAGCAAATACAAATAATAAATATATAAATACAATAAGAATGTATAATTTAGATATAAGTACCTGATAGTGGTGGGGCGGACGGTACCTCCTGTTTCACGCAGTTGGAGAGCCTTGTGTTAGACTTGCGCGGCGGCGGCGCTTCGTCACTGCTCTCTGATATCGGTTGCTGGGAATTAAATAATATGACATATTATTGTAATACTTTTTTAGGGTTCAAAGGGTAAATCGGGACCCTATTACTAAGACTCCGCTGTCCGTCCATCTGTCTGTCTGTCACCAGGCTGTACCTCATGAACCGTGATAGTTACACAGTTGAAATTTTCACAGATGATGTATTTCTGTTGCTGCTATAACAACAAATATTAAAAAACAGAATAAAATAAGTATTTAAGGGGGCTCCCATACAACAAAGGTGATTTTTTAGCTCGATATTGAAAACGGCAACAGGGAGACGCTTGAAATATTTACGGAATATTATGTAGTTATAAATTCACTTTAAAAATAAATAATTAAATTAAAATAAAAAAAAAACATTTAAGTGGGGCTCCCGTACAACAGACTTATTTTTTTGCCGTTTTTTAGATAATGGTACGGGACCCTTTTTTGTAGATTTACGCAAATATTTGTCATTTTAAACAACACTATTTTGCTGGAATTTTCTTCACGTATTTATATATTGATTCCGAGTCACCTCTGATATTTGAATGTGCGAATCATTTCCAACATATTACCATTTATCTTACGGTGAAGAAAAACAGCGCGAGGTTACTTGCATGTCTGAGAAAACCTAGCAAGTTTTCGAAAGATATGTTCAGTCCGCCCCGCACTTGGCTAGCGTGGTGGACTATTGTCTAAACCCACTCGTATTAAAAATAGGCCGGTAAAAGTTGTTTTTTTAAAACTATCACCAATTGTCTTCAGGTAATTATTCTAGTTGAAAAAATAACAATTTAAATTGAACCTTAAATACAATGCTTAAAGTTGTTTTCACAAAACATATATTAAAAGCGCGCTCAAATATTCAAATGAGCGCTCATTCGGTGAGGCCATTTTTTGTTGCTGATTTTGTATCTAGTACTTTTTTGATCGATGGCTGAAACTATAAATACATTGTAATTATCACTTACAAAATTTTGCGGTGGCTTTAAGTCCTGCGTTGTGGGGTTACGCTCCAGCGTCAGCGTAGTGGTGGCGGTGGCCAGCACCTTGCCTCCTTGCAGTTCTACAGTCTGTATCAAAAAATATATCGTGCAATGAAAAACGAAAACAAATCTATCCAACGGGGACCGTACTTTTTTCCGTGATAAAAAGTAACCTGTGTGCTATTCTAGACCAATATAAGTAATCTATCTCTGTGTCAAATTTCATCCAGATCCGTTCAGCCGTTCTGGGCGAGATTGAGTAACTAGCGTCCATCCAAACTTTCGAATTTATAATATTACATAATGAATATCTCGTGTCACGGTGTCTGTGGTCGCAGTCCTCCGAAACGGCTCTACCGATTTTAATGATTTTTTTTGTATATTCGGTAGGTATGAGAATAGGTCGTAAAGTATTTCTCATTGTCCTACCCCTATCCACAATTTTTTAACCGCAATTTTAGTTTTAAAGAGAACTTTTGCATGGGATTGTGTATTTAGTACTTTTTTATCGATGGTCTACTGGTCTTTTTATCTACTAGGACAAACAAAATAATGTTTTGACTTAAATTTGCTTTTAACTTTGGAAAAAATTGAACTTTTAACTAACTCTAGTCGAGCAATAACAAGTAATAATAAAAAAAAATATCCCATACCTTAGTCTCAGAAGACCTAGAAGACCGACGTTTCTTGCTAGCAGGCGGCGTCTCCCGCGCGTTCCACCCGCCGCGCTGCACCCACGACCGTCGCGTCGATACCAGGGATAGGTCCAGATCGTCCTCCGAACGGGAGAACGACATCTCTGATAGGAGGGTACCTGTTGAATAAATGTAAAATATTGATATACTACATTATTATAAAGAGGTATGGTATGGTATGTTATGTTCGGGCTGTTTTCCGCAACTCGACGAATATGCGCCTATTTTGCGTGTGTAATTATTATAAAGAGGTAAAGTTTCTAAGTTTGTATATGATGTTCTCCTAGCCGATTCCGGCTACGGCGGCCGATCTCATTGAGAATAGCCAACTGCGCAGGAGATATTATAGTGCACAAGTGTACGCGCAGACACAACGTGCACTCTCTATTCCTGTCACTCTCATACTCTGGTGAGACGACTGCTCAACACGACCAGTGAAGAGTTCAGGCGCAGGACCAACGGCTTTACGTGCTCTCCGAGGCACGGGGGTAAAACACCGCCAACTTCCCAACTCCGGGCTGTTACTGAGACTTACAATACAGAAAGTATCAATAACTAAACTTGGCCCGACCCGGGACTCGAACCCAGGACCTCCGAGTGTGCAGCCGTACATGCTAGCCACTACACCACCGAGGCAGTTAAGTAAGGCAATTAAGTAAGTTTGTATATAAGATAATCTCTGAAACTACTGACCCGATTCTAAAAATTCGTTCACTAATAAGACCTATTACTGCCTAGCTAGTGGTATAGGCTATTTCGTATTGCAAATAAATGTATTTACTATTGAGCTTCTTTATACGATATTGTTAGGGACGCTAGTATATTATTGTTAGCGACTTCCATGCATCCTATGCCTAACAATAATTTACATTACATTTTTTCTGGACAAAAAGTAACCTATGTGCAATTCCAGACTATAACCTATCTCTGTGCCAAATTTTATCCAAAAATCCAAAAGGGTCAATAAGTAACAAAAGTAGTACAGTATTCATTTAAAACATGACCGACATAACGCGCAAGACCGACAATTTTAAGTGTTTTTTAAGGCACGGGCGTATGAACACCGCCAACTTCTCAACTCCAAAGTACTGAGATTTTCTAAAAGAAAAAACCAGTAACTATTTTGACTTCACGTGAGACTAGATTCTCAAGTCAAAGACCTCACGTGAAGACAAACCCACAACCTCTAAATCTTAGCCATACATAATAGCCAATAAACCAACAAATGTATGAAACAAATTAAGAACACGAATTTGTCTATGTGCTTTATGTGAGTTGGGAGATAATAATAAACTATGGGCCTTATCAAAGGACCATATCCTTTCTGGAAAAAAATGCCTATGTAATATCTATAACGTATATGTATGTGTATTATAGACCAATTACTCATTAAATGAAATAATAGAATAAGTTAGTATGATAAGGTGGAGTCTAATGATGAAATCCTATATGATTAAATCCTAGATAGTGGAACATGGGATTTCATTATTTTTTAAGTATAAAATTATTATATATACATAGAAGTCATAAACTAGTAGTAACAGACATGTATGCAAAAATAAATACATGTGAACCTGCATTCAACCATAATCAGTAAACTATAAATTAATCCCCTTGATATTGATGCTAAGATTGTGCCCCAGAAGTGAAATGCTAAAAAGGTTGAATTATTATTGTAATTTTAATATGGAATAGAAAAACTGTGAAAAAAAAAACAAATCTATACCATAGGAACCTAACATTTTTCAGGGATTAAAAGTAACCTATGTGCTATGGCAGACTGTAATCTGTGTGCCAAATTTCATCCAGATCCTTTCAGCCGTTCTGGCATGATAGAGTAACAAACAGCCATCCATCTAAACTTTCGCATATATAATATTAAAAATAATAGGATTACAACAAAATTCAAATTCTCTTACCAGTAGAATTCATCTCTGGAACACCACTAAGTTTGGCATTATGGTCCTGTTGGGCTGTGCCATTGAGAAATGCCAGTTTTTGTAATGTTTCATTGTTCAATTTAGCTCGGTTGTCATTGAAAAGTAAATCTCTTGCCATATCTAGGAGTTTGCTCTGGAATAAAAGTTACATTCAATTAAGAATAGTTTTATTTTTATTAGCTTTTTAAAATATGATTTTGTAACATAAAGATTTGGTAATCTCGTTATATAGTTTTTTTTAAGTTTGTGTAGATATCATAGGAAATGAAATGGAAAGTCCATTTAATTAGTTGTTATTGTATCTATTAACTCTAATGGCTTATATTGATATATGAATTCCAAAAGATTCAGAAGTCAATATGATGACCTTCCGTTAAGGTAAATATTTCACTATATGTATGGATATTTAAAGATACATATACAGCAAGCATATTAGCAGTCGAGTAACTTACCAACTCCTTATACTTTTTCATAACAATATTCCTTTCCCTTTTTTCAGAATCAAGAAGCTTACGAACATGAGCAAATTTAGCTTCCCACTTAGCAAGTGTCTTTAATGCCTCATCCAATTCTGTTTGGAGTCGGTTTGCTTCTGCCTCTGCTGCAGCCCATTGAGTTCGAACCCATTCCATTTGCTTTACAAATGCTAGGAAATCTATGTGGAAAAGTAGAATAATTAATAAATATAGTGAAAATTTGAATGTCAATAAGATGTGTAAATTTCAAATTTAATCAAATTTCAACAAAAGAAGTCACTACCAAAGTTTTAGTTAGGATTTGCTTAAATTGATACTATGGCCTAACTTGACCAGCCCCAATAATTTCAAAATACATTTTGAGTTATTGTGTACTTTTATTATTTATTAGCTAAGACAAGAAAAGCTAACAGGTTAAGAAAAGAGTTAAATGTATTTGTAAGCTGACCACAAGTTTACTAGTGTTATGCAAAAATAACCTACCTATATTAAACTATACTTGAACATTTGAATATATAGATAGCTACAGCTGCTACCAAGAATTTTAAAATTACATAGATTTGTATTTATGACGTGTAATATAAAAAAAAATCGAATTAAACCGGTTTCGGTGACAAACAATCGCAGCAAGTTTTATGGATATGATTCAAAGAAACTTATTTCTATAGCACTTTTGTCTCATAAATATTTAATATTTTCATTATAATACTATTGGACAATATTATTCATTCCTTATCCACAGTATAGTATAAAGTGTAAAGCAATTAACCAAGAGAAAGTCAAGGTAACCATAAAATATTCGCATTATTTACATGTACCGCCATTTTACATTTATAAAAATATTACTTGGTACAATTTATAATATATGATTACTTACATTCTTCTGAAGATCCATCGTTTAGAACATTGTTTAAACGATTTATATCATCAAACTGGGCTACCAAAGAGAGGGAGATGCCTCCCGCGTCCGAATTTTCTGAACTCATATTTTTATTTACTGCACTGGTACTTTCTAATAATAATATATTCCGATTAGTTTGCAATAAATCAATCTCTTCCAATATTTAAATAATTTACAGAGAACACTACATAGCACAAAATGAGAATATTGTGAAAATTTTTAAATAACGACTACCTGTCGGTTGCTAAATTTGTTAAAGTCAATGCCAAAGCTACTGGCCAATCAGGCTCACGCTCTAAAATCGTCATTGTCGCGACCGTTTTAATGATGCGTTCATTATAACCAATTGAATAATTCGTAGACTTAGTACTGCTTGATTTATGATTGCAATAGAGATTCATTAATTTACTAAAATATATCTAAACTTTTTAGGCCATGAAAGGAAAAAAACAATTTCTTTTCTTTCTTATTTTATGCCACATTTTTACTTTATTGGTGATTTCATTTAAGGAAATAAACTGTAAATATTGAATTAGATTAGGATTACTTGTGTCTGGAAAAGCATACAGCATAATTATTTCAAGTTACATTGTATTATTATAATCTTAATTTTATGTCTACAAGATTCATCAATATATCTCTTTAATATTATCATTTCTATTTTCATAACAATACATACGTACCTTTTTTTGTCTCTAATAAGTTTGCTCTCTTCTATATAAAGGTTCCACAATATTTTAGAATATTAAGTAGCAAATTTTTAAATAAGAGGTAGATTACATAAAGCTGTTATTAGATAAACGTTATAAAATCATTTATTCTGAGACATCTAGGGTAATTGATTTATTGTATTTTTTTTAAGCTGGTAACATTTGTATTCATTTTCTTTTATTGAATTTGACAACTGACATTGACACAGCACGGCTAATCTGTGTGTCAAAGCGCGATGACGTTCGGCTGAGAACGGTGGTTCGTTCGTGCGGGTCGCATATCCTTACGGATTTATTGTGAGATAATAATTATTTCCGACTGCACCGGCGTATAAACGCAAGGAACGGCACTATGGCGGACGAAGAAAATAATTGTGATGATGGTGGTGATATTAAAGGAGGGATGCGGCTGCGAGGCCGAAAGGGTGCCCTGAAGAAGAAGAATGTTTACTTGGTAAAAGACCACAAATTTATGCCGAGATTCTTCAAACAGCCTACATTTTGTTCCCACTGCAAGGACTTTATATGGTAAGTTTATTTTATCTATCTATATTATAAGTAGAACTTGCTTGGTACTCGATCATTGATGGGTATTATAAATAGGCAATGTTTACAATGCGATGGTGAGTCGAATGAATGCGCGGTTTCCTCGTGATAAGGCAGATTACGGTGTAATGGTTAATTTAAATCTGCACATACATAGGTGTTTGTCCCGTAAATATATGCAAGTGTTCTCTGCCTTTTAATTGTATTTTAGTCGCTTATAATTAATTCTATGCCAAATTGGAATTCTCTTGCATCGATTTCTGAATTAAAACAGGTTTATTTTTTTATTTATCGTGAACTAAATATTACAATTATGATATTTTATTGATAAAAACAAGAAATATTACATTATGGTTTGGTACAAATATTAATTTAAAAAAATTGTGTATTAAAAAAAAAGTTTGGTCAATCCAAAATCAATTGGTATTATTTAAAAAAAAAAGCTTGCTTTTATTATTTTATATGTTTCATATATTTATATGTACCATATTTTTTATTTATATGTAATATCTGTACAAATATAATTACTAAAATATATATTTTTTTAATTTTTTTTTAAAGAAAATTAAAGAAAATACGTAATATTTCAAAAGCTCGCGATAATCCTACGGTTAAATACTACTACTTACTGGAAATTTAAAAATCAGAATTAGTAAATAGATCTATTATGTACTGAATATAGATTTTTAATATAATTAAAAAAAACATGACGAAAAGTTAATTATTAAATGTACTAATTATGTTATAGCATATTTATATTAAGTATAATTACGAGGATTTTAATTCATAAAAATACCAACAAAAAACTGTCTGTTTATATATACCTACATATAAATCAAAGCTAATTAGAAAACCATGTGTTGTTTGTTATGACAGGTGTCATCACAGTTCGTATATGTTTGCGCTGTGTTGCCAAGTTTAATAAGTATTATAAAATAATAAACTAATGATCCAGCTAATTCTATGACCTTATAAGAATTTGTTAAAAAAATCATGTATTTTACATTTAAAGAAGCTCCATCAGAAAGCAGAACTAACAATTACATACGATACATATTTTTTATTTTACGTTTTAACATTTTCTATATTATTTAAAAAATATATATTTTGCTATTAAAGTACGAAAGTGACAGATGTAATTTTTTCTTTCGTTTTATCGAACGAAACCTTTAAAATAGCCACCTTCTTCTTCTTATTGCACGGCTTTTTCCCCAATTAGGCAGGTTTGTCTGTTGTACGTGAGCTACTTCGTGTGTTATTCTTTCAAACCCAGAGCGTCCCAGTAGTCAAGCAGTTTAAAATATGGTATAGTTATATAAATAGCCACCTATTGTAGTACTCAATCATAATAGGTACCAACGATTTGCTAACTGACAATACTCTGATATGACTATTCCAATGATGGATCCCTGACCCAATGCCAATCGTTTAATTTGTTCATTGAGACCGTGACCTACAGTAAAATAAATCGCTTTTTAACGAGCACCACAATAGCATGTGTGCAGATTACGTATGAGAGAGAAGCTGAAAATAATATTCAAAAATATATGCGATAAAAATGATATATCGGTCGGTTTACTAAATCATCGTAATATAAAATTTAAATGTTCGTTAAATCAATATCGAAATTTTAGTTTAAATAACAAATTACATGACGTTTTGTATGCTAATATATCGCATGTGTACTAACAGGACCAATGGAGACCAATAAATCAGTAGAAATAAATAAAAGAGTTCTATGATACTTACATTTTTTATTCTCAACTCTCTTCTTTAAACATTCATCTTGAGAAATCGAACCTGTTATCATTTTGCAAGTTAGTGCCAATGCGCCACGTTGGTTGTCTTTAATTCTTTAATTCTATCAAATGCTACTACGAAGTATATTATAATATTGTTAAGTATATTAAAATTTTCGCCTCGTCGAAAAATTGTAAGTCATTACGCGGAACAAATTTGGCCTCTATTTAAAATTAGACGAATGTAATAAAATAATGATGTATTTTATACGTCTGTATCTACATAATAATTTTAACAAGGAAAATGTTGTTTTATAATAATGTGACGAGCCTGGATCAAACGTAAAGTTGGCTGAAGAGATTTTTTGTCTAGCTCTGTTTTCTTTGTCTCTATCCCTCTTCAAAATTCTCTAGAATTTGAGTCTTGTACATTTGCGCTAGATGAATCTATTCTGAGTTGTCTGTATTGTAAGATCAGCCTTCATCTCCCGCCGCGCGTGATGTAGCCCATACACGGTTTCAATAGTAAGGGTCTTAATACTGATCCTTGATGCACCCTTGCTCTAAATGAAACGCTAAGACGAACTAGCTGAGGCCAAACTAGTATTCTAAGTCAGTAGTATTCAATCAAAGGCTTTTCCATATCAATAAATAGAAGGTATGGGGTTGTCTTTATTTGCCCGATACTTTTCAATTACTCTTCTGACCGTTTGAATAGATTCTTTTGTAGATTTTTCGGATGTAAACCAAAATTGGTTTTCTATTATGACACAGAGCGTAGTAATATAAGATGAAATTTCATTGTAATTTTATCGAAATAAATTATAAATCTATTTATTTATCGTCAGTAAAATATGTAATTATCTTTTCTTTTTCAAATATTTCACTGACAAGGAGCTTTTTGTATTTTACTCGTAACAAAGAGATCAATCGCATATGTTAAATTTATAAATATTGAAGTAAAAGTAATCTTAGAAATCATTTATAGGATTCGAAAAATTCTTTTGCAAATACATAGCAAGTTATACGAGTATTATCTTTTGTAAGATATCTTTTGTAATTAAATTCTTTAAGGCTATAGCAAAGAAAGGGCGCTTGTTATCTAAATAATTTTCATTGAGAAATAAAATAAAATATCTGAATATCGATATCTATACAAATAATAAAATTCTGAGTCGAATCTATACATTAAATATTTTATGGAAAATCTTATTGAAATAGTCATTATTATCGATAAAGAGGCCGAATGTATAGTTTTTAGAATGTTTGTCTGTGTGTCTGGGAACGCATCACGAGAAAACCACTGGACAGATTTTGATGAAATTTGGTATGATGATAGCTTATTCGGGTCAAATATCTCATCTCTGAGAAATATATACTAAATTGTAAATTGACTCGTAAAAAAAGTTCTAGAATATTTTTTTTAAATACTATCTTTATTAATATCCATATTTATTCAACATGTTGTATGTACCTACAATGATTCTTCTAGTTTTGGCACAATATAAGACGTAACGTCCTTAGGTTGTTGATCTTATAGTAGGGGAGCCCAAGAGGGGATTTTCTGTAGTTACTCGAGCGCGGCAGATTAACATAAAAGAGGTTACCTTGCACTCTATTGAGTACTTTCACCACAATATAAGTCTTCTATATAAAGGGGCGCGTCTAGGGAAGCCGATTAAAATATTTAAAAAATGTTTTGATAAGGTAAAAATACTTGAAACCGTCAGATTAAGGTGTGGTAGGCTAGTCACATCCTGAAAAGTGTCCAATTTAATAATCTGCCGATTTGCACAAGCCTAAGAGGCAAAAATCATCATAAACTTTATAGTCGATTTTTGCCTCTTCGGCTTGTGCAAATCGGCAGATTATTGAATTGGACACTTTTCAGGATGTGACTAGCCTACCACACCTTAATCTGACGGTTTCAAGTATTTCTACCTTATCAAAACATTTTTTAAATATTTTAATCGGCTTCCCTAGACGCGCCCCTTTATATAGAAGACTTATATTATGGTGAAAGTACTCAATAGAGTGCAAGGTAACCTCTTTTATGTTAATCTGCCGCGCTCGAGTAACTACAGAAAATC